CAAAAGTGTATTTCATCTTCGGTGGATAACTTAAGTTCATTGCATATATGAAGCCCATGAGCAGAAGGCAAGCCTTTGACACACATCTGCAGTCATCAAGAACCTCACTTCCCTCGATGATGATGGACACATCGGCAGGGCCTTCGTGTGCTGCACTTCCACGGAGGACAACTATTTTCATGACGTGCTCAGCATAGTCCTCTCTGACGATTTCTTTGCTCACATCCTGTCAAAACATGTGAATTGGTGTTGAGATACACTATACTGTACATGTTTTCTTTTAAGTGACTGAATATGCAAAAGGTGATTCATTAGGTTAAAGTGCTGAACAATCAATCAAAATGTTATCGAAACTGCAATATTGCCTACAACAATTTTCAAATCGCAGCAGGTGCGATATTTGTAAAAGGAAAAATGTGTGTCAAAGTAGCATTTTAAATGTAATATTGTCGTGCTGCAGAGATGCCTACACATCATATTCTACAGTCTAAAGAAAACATTTTTGTTTGCTACAAATCCTCGCAAAAATCACACCATGATCATTTAAAAAGGTTTCAATGAAAATGAGAATAATGATGATCATTTCCTGATATCGCAATTGCAATATCAGTTAAAATAATTGCAATTACATCTTTTTTTTTTAATCGTTCAGCCCTAGTATTTAACTAACTATTGATTTTATAGTTCCTTTCCTTTTGTAGATAAAGACGAGGTAAGTTATGTAGGGAATTTGTAGTCACTTTTTATTTCTTGGTTTAAAAAAGCTGCTCTGTTCCAAGCAGGAAGTAAAAGCTGGTATAGTACTGGATTCAGTTTAGCAAAAATGAGGTGGGATCGGAGGTTTAAAGGCTCAAATCTTCAATTCTACTGAAAACCAAATTATGAATCAGAATGTAAAAAAAGATCATTAGAGAAAGAATGAAAAAAAGAATGAATGGAATAAAGTAAAATGTTTGCTTTTATTTTAAATATATTAAATACCAATTTATTTCATCTAAATGTTAAACTTAATTAAAAAGACATGCCTTTTCCACATACTAGCATGAGTCACTAACCTGTAGAGATATCCATTTACAAATATTGAAGAACAGACAACATGTTTATGGATACAACAATCATCAGAACATTTACCTGGTAGTCTTTGATGAGTTCCTCTGTAGACTCTCCAAGGAACTCCATCAAGCAGCGGATGATGGCATCTCGTCTATCTTCTACATGTAGCTGTTAAAACAGACAAGTACATTATTGTAGAGAGAAAGCAAAAGATGTTGCGTAATGGTCAATTGAACCTGCTACAAAAGAAGGCACCAACTAGGTGCAAGGATGCAAAGCAGGATCAAGCTGTGCATACAAATGAGTTGATAAACATTTAACTTAAAACCAGTTACATGTTTTAGCCTGTAGTGCTTTAACAATCCTGTCCTTTTGTTAGATTCAAAGCTACATGTTTTGCACACCCATCTAGTGGAATCTGAAAAAAACACAAATTAATTCAATCTTTAAACCTCTTGAAACTAAACCATGTTACAAAAACATTTATGTCAACTTAAACTTCTAACAGTACTGAGTTGATCAACTTACTCTGCATTAGCTGTCGAAGACAAAATTGCTGAATGACTCAATTTCCCTTGGTAACCTGTGAAATATATAGAAAGTACATTATAAATTAATTATGTAAATTACAGAACTTACTGTCTTGCAATTTATTGCTTAAATATGAACACATCAATATACATTCAGAGCCATTTTTATCATGTAAAATGTTATTTAAAAAAATAATTCTATCACACATGTATACATACAACTTGTCACTGCATTCAAGGCTAATCAATACGCAAAGTAAAAATAACGTAATAATACTTTTATCCAAAATACAACCCTTCAATACAATGACAGACATCCGGTTCTTCATAACTGCTTTATCCATAGCTTCTTAACCTCCTTGTGTTTTTCAAATTTGAGTAAATGTATCACTACATTTACTCAGACAGCAGAATTTATACCTCTGAGCTCTGCCACACCATCTCCCTTCCTCCGCCACCCAATGCACACTAAACGCTACTTAAAGGCTGTGCTAATCTGCTATTTTTCGACAGTATTTACATTTAGCTTTGTTTGTATGGTGTTGGCTGAAGACTAAGTGACATAGACATAACTTATCGATGTGACTGAAATTTGGTCGGTAACAGATTAAGAATGTTGGTTTTGACGACTTTTTTAATTTACCTAGCCCTACACAATATACAATTATTTGTAAAGTTACCTCCATGGTCAGGTGTCTTGTCTTGCTGTTGTAACTTGATGCTGTTGTACAGTGAGAGGGCACTGTAATTTCAACAGGCTGCTGGAGGAAAACACCAACCATCAAATGAAATGTTGCCTAAGAACCAAAACAAAACTGAAAAGGGAAGGGAACAGATAAGCATGATTAGCTAACATAATGCAAGCACATCTAGTTAGCCCTATATCATTAAAGTCACTGTTACTATAGAAGACATTGCAATTAATATAAAGTAAAAAAGGATGAATATATATATATATATATATATATATATATATATATATATATATGAAAGGATGAATATATATGAGACACAGAAATAGTATTGTTATCAGTGGCGGCTGGTCAATAAAGGGCGCCGACCTTTTCCTCCCTAGTGGAAAGTGTTTTGTTTTTCAAATAATGAAATAAATAAAATGAAATGTCACTAATCATCAGAATGTAACTTTAATGTACAATAATGTGTTTTAAACCGTAGGAATACATTCTCTGAGTATGGCGTTATTTTTATCTCTTGTCCTGGGTGGCAGATTACGTCACTTCCGCCGCCTAAAACCCAGGAGCTAATGGTACATTAGCAAAACAAACGCAATTTGTTTGTGTGCAAAAGGTGCACGTTCCCCTCGACTGTTTCAATTGTATTGTTTACTCTCAGTACAGCACCACTTTCCGAACAGGAAATGCACGCTAATACAAAATAAAATCGCAATGACACTTATTATATATATATATATATATATATTTTTTTATATAAATAAATAACGATATCTTGTATAGTTACACCCGCTAGACAACAGTGGCGGGTTCGACAAACAACCGTGTTGGCCGGGTGCACCGCGGCGGAGGTGGGGAGGTTCCAGCCCTGAACCTCTACCCCGCTGCGGGACCCGTGGTGGGACCCGTCAGACCGTGCGTCGTCGGCCGGCCGGGAAGGAAGAGACACGCAAAGTGGGGGAAGTCCCCCACCCCAACGCAGCACACCCTCCCGGTCATCAGAGTCTAACCCGCAGTTCGGAAGAACCAACCGCCAGAGCAGCAGAACTAGGCCGTGGGCATGGTGGGTCGCGTTTGCCATTCGATCACAGAGCGGAGAGGAGAAAAATGCAACAAAACATGTCAAAATCTGTTAATATATGGATGAGTGGGAGGGGGGGCTGGACACTGGCCGTGGGGGGGACACCCGGACCGGGCAGTGTCCCAGTTAGAAGGAACCGGGTGAAATAGCCAACAAAATAAAAATGAATAGAACCGGGGAAAATGTGAAAAAAAGTGTCCGAAAATAGGCACTCGTGAGGCGGGGAGAGTCCCCTGTCAACTCCCGTTACATTCTTCCATGGTATCATTTGAGCGAAAAATGGCTTTTACGAGAACCAGGCTGGGGGGGTCAAAAGGGCTTGACCAAGGCCGACCCAAAGTGCATGGTGAGCGGACTCATCACCTCCGTGATGAGTCCTTCGGGGGGCCGGGAAAAAAACGTGTTCAGGATCGTCACTTCCTGTACTGCAGGAATCTTCAACAGCCGCGTTCACACCGGAACATCAGCCGTTAGCTGTTAGCACTCAGAGCTCACAGCTCCTCATATTTGTTCAGAAACTAGACAAAAGTGAAACAAGTACAAACCGCAGACTTGTCAAAGCATTAATTCATGGTTTTTACTAACCGGTATCAGTATGTTGTTACGGGCCGGGTCAAACCAAACTGTGCTAAGTGCTGCACTGGAAAAGCGCCAACAGTGAATCCATCGAGGCAAACACACAGACACACTTACCTTTTAAATCGCGCTGTTCATATTTAATTGCAAATATAATATTCCTTGACCACTTTGTCCTTCTCTAGGCTGCAGTGAAACTGACCGCATCACGTAGCGTCGCACATACTGTTGAGTATTTCTTTTGTCGAGCTGGAGCCATGAACACCCCCCTCTCCCGAAATAAAAAACTATTCAAATTTTAAAAAGTGCGCCATAGTTTCCATTATAAACGGCGAATGTTGTCGTAGCCGACAACTTTGAAGCTTCAAATAAGCCATTAAAAAAAAAATATTATATCTGATGTGTGCAACTTGCATGAAACCGGGCTAAGTTTGCTAGCACGATAATGAGCTAGTTAGCCAGCTAATGTTAGCTAACTTAGCCTTACATTTTTAATAACCAAATACTGACTTCAGTTGACAAGCTAATAGGAATGTAACAAGTTAACCAAGCACATAAACATACTCACATGACTCCACATCGATGAATATTCAAATGAAATGGTCGACCAAGCAGTCTTCAAGTTCCACTCAAATGTCAACCTTCTGAGTAGACTGTCCGTGCATGTCTGCGGGGGCAACGTGCGGGAAATACTCTCCTATGACGTCACCCACAGTTAACTTGCATTTCCCATGTACATTTTAATAGATTTAACAGGTTGTACAGTCAATACAATAATTTAGGTAATATTTACTTGGTGCTATTGTTAAAATTCACTTATCAAAATGAAGATTCAAAATTACATAGAAACACAAGTAACACATTAAATAAAAGGAGACATTTGGAGTAAAATTACTGAAATACTAATGTATTGTAGAATTTAAACATATAATCAAAGTAATATTTACAAAGCCAAAAAGTCCTTTTTTTCAGTGTGTGTGTGTGTGTGTGTGTGTGTGTGTGTCGCATAACGCTGTACTTGGCACTATGACTGATTCGATGTAAGCATGTAAATGCCATTCCCTAACCGTCATGTTCATATAGCCCCGCCTACTTTGTACGCCACCGCCTGCTTATAGGTTGTCTCTCATGTCCGTCAATCCTTTCATCCAATCGAATGAGAAGGGGCGGAACATGACGCACGTTGGGGTATTAATTAAAAGCACCCTGCGTCTCCTGTGTTAATCCTGTTGTGTTTTCTGTAGCAAGGATTAAAGTCGTCAAAAGATATCCAGGTATTTATAACATTTTAAAGCTCATTTGGCTGCATTACTTTGATATATTAACAAGATAAAACGCTGTTGTAATGATTTAAACGTGTTAAAACGTAATATGGCATCTAGACGTAAAATGTAACACTAAATGGTTGTTATTTGTATGTATTGTGTGTTTGTTATATAGGTAGAAGCTTGCATTAGAAAATATATGCATAAGTGAGGAAATAATGTGGGTTTCTTGTATTTACAGTAAAATAAGCATCATGGCTCTGGACAGATGTGGCCTCCTCTGCAAATACACGCTGTTAATTTTCAACCTCATCTTTGCAGTAAGTGGTTTAATAATTATGATACTTCCTATTTTAATTCTTCCCTTTTTTGTTTACTTTATAGTGTTCTGTGCAAGTTTTAACGCTGTGAATAACTAATGGTTTGTAAGTGTTTCTGAGGTTGGGTTGCCGTACGGAGTTTGGCGGACCATCTCACACATGCACACTGCAGATAGGGCAGGGCGGCAGATCGGGTAGTGACAGCAGGTATGACACCGCCTCTGTGTGGTCACGTGAAGGAGAAAGGAAAACAAAATATTTTAAAACAGGGGTGTCCAAACATTTTCCCCCGAGGGGTAATTATACTTTACATGAAGGTTTATGTACAAATTAACTGTATATTAATAACACATTTAGGAATTAAATAAAAACTGTGCACAAAATAACAATAAAACTGTTTACATGTGTTAACCACAATATAAACATTAGTGTATTGGTATTAATAAAGATATTAATGATAAAAAAATAGATTATTGATCTTTTTTATTCATATCTATATCCCTAGTCAAGTATTTGTTGAATTACTTTTTTACATTTTTGAATTCCACTGCTGTAATATGTAAAATAACATAGCGATTAAGCATGGTATTCTCTGTTTTGCACAATTATTCATATCAATTCAGATCTAATTGTGTCACGGTTTGGCTAGAAGCTGGGCCCAGCAGTCAGAACAAGATCTCAGTAGTTTTATTTTGTTTTTCTCTGCTATCATGTTGCCTTGTGGTTGTGAGTATTTTGTGGTTTGACTGGTGTTAGTGTGACTCTCCGTCCCTGTTGGTTTCATTCTGCACTTTTACATGACACCTCTTCGCATCAACACACACACACACACACACACACACACACACACACACACACACACACACACACACACACACACACACACACACACACACACACACACACACACACACACACACACACACAACACACACACACACACACACACACACACACACACACACACACACACACACACACACACACACACACACACACACACACACACACACACGTTTGCAAGGCTGTTGACTGTTAGTCCAGCAACGCCCTCTGCTGGCGGCACATTCGATTACAACAGACACCTATACACTCTACAACACACACCTACTCACTGTACAAAACACACAGCTCCTAAAGCATATAATATATATCGGGCTACAGCCATTGTACATTTTATTATGTGAAGCACTATATGGTTTCATGAAAAATATCTAGTGTTTATTTGTAGATATCTACTAAAGCATACAAATAAAGTGTGTAATGTAGGCCTGTTACATATATTATTGAGTGATATATATTATACACACTGTTCTGCTTTCTGCACTGACCTCAGCAGCTGTTTTCACTGTAAACATTGCGTCACAATGAAAGCAGTTGTATAAAAAAAAGAATAGCCTAACATCCAGGGGAGATGTGATTAGTGAGTAAACAAACGGTAAAGGGCAGAAAGTCTGATGCACATTTGATCATCTTAAATAACTCATAATCGGGAACAGTTTGCAGAGCTGTGCTTCGTTAACATAAGTCCAGCCATGCGTCACGCCACTTTTAAACATCACTGTTGGCTGTTACCCTCGGTTATAGCTCCTCCAGAGACACTCCTCTCTCCTCTCTCCTCTCTCCTCTACATCAGTGCACCCAGTTTTAATTCTTTGTGTTTTTCTGTGGTTGTGCAGCTGGTAGGGTTTGTGTTCCTGGGTCTGGGCCTGTGGCTGAGGTTCAGCGATGGCACCAGAGTATTCTATGAATTCGATGACTTCTCAAGTACATTCAATATGGGTCAGTACATATGTGGCATGATTTCTCCAGAATAAACATATTGTGTGTCTGAAACATATTTAATCACAGATCTTTATATATTTTTTTAAGCGGTGACTGTCCTGATTATCACGGGCTTGGTGATGCTGATCGTCGTCGTGTTTGGAGTCTACGGCGCCTGCAACGAGAAACGATGCACCCTGCTAACGGTGAGACTTCTTAACACAGTGACTTCTGTGTATACAGCCATTTTATGTGATTGCAAAAGCCTGCCTTACACAACTGGCTTACTGTAACTAGTGCAGAACTCACTTTTAGATATGTTGTTTCCTTTGTCTAATATGCAAACATAACAACCTGAAAAGGAGCATTATTTTCTCAGTTTCCTATTGAGAAAGTTCCACATGCGAGCGAGGAACGGAGAATGTATAAATATTAGGGCTGTCAAGTTAATAATAACGCGTTAACGCAAAAAAAAATTAACGCCACTAATTATTTTAACGCGATTAACGCATGTGTATTTTTTGTCCTCGGCCGCCCCGTAGTTTCAGAGCGCATTGAGATTAAAATACCATCTACAAGCTGATGCTGACAGCCCCGCTCCTGCCGCCTGCTTGTGGCAAGGCAAGGCAAGTTTATTTATATAGCACCTTTCAACACAAGGCAATTCAAAGTGCTATACAAAAAATGAAAGACATTCAGAAAATGGCATTTAAAATCAGTCATTAAAAAGAAAAGATAATAAAATAAACATTAAAAGAAAAATACATACAAGTTACAGTGCAGTTTAAGATGTGAATAGTTCAATTAAAAGCGGCGACAAAAAGAAAAGTCTTCAGCCTGCAGACCACACTTCCACGCTCACCGGCAGGCCCGGGCCCGTTCTCATTTCATCAAATGTCCCTCCTCGACTCCTCGACTCCTCGGTCCTCCGGTAGTGACCCGGAAATGAATTTTAGCGCGCCATGTTGAAGGACATCTCATTTCTCGAAATGCACATCGAGGACCGAGCATCGAGCGTCGAGGAGGCTCTCTGGAGGAGCTATAACCGAGGATACACTGATGGGTCCTCCACGGCTCCTTCGTGGATGCATTTCCGGCAACAGTGATGTTTCAAAGAGTCGAGACGCACGGCCGGACTTATCTCAGCCAATGACAGCTCTGCATGCATCCCCTGGATATTATTTTATTAACTGCTTTCATCGCGACGCGATGTTTACAGTGAGAACAGCTGTGAGGTCCGTGCAGAAAGCAGAGCAGTGTGTATAATCAGGGCTGCCAACATTTGAGTTCAGCTTGGAGTGAGATTTTATTTTTGGTGAACCGAAAAAAGAAACGTTCATGTGTACAGTGTTACAAATGTATTGAACATGTACAAACTAGGGTTTCCCATTAATGTACCGGGTGCTACAGTGGAATACGCACATACACAGTGTACCCGCTACTCTTACAATCAAGTGCTATTTTATAAGTGGGGGTCCTCACCTCCTCTAGGGGGGTCCGTGGGCATGCTTCCCCTGGAAGATTTTTTTTTAAATATTGAAGTTAAATGCATCAATCTGGTGCACTTTGAGAGCAAAATGAATTTATGGATACATCTCTCAACATCCATATGAAACAGAACTGTAAACAGATTTTCTTTTTCTTTATGGATATTTTACAAATCACTCACCTTTTAAACTGTATTCTTGTTTTACTGTCATATAGTATTTCATAACTGTTTTTCATTTATTCTCATAAATGGTGACCAAACCGTTTGAGACCCACTGAGATAACTAGACTAAAGTTAACTATCTAAACACTCAGAGAGTCCCTTACCTCACTGAGCTGTAGTTATCTCTCTCAGTCTGACAGGAGAGAGCTCTCCTCTCCTTGTTTTAGAAACAGCTTCTAATATCCGTTAGCGCAGCAACAACAATGCAAATAGTGAGTTTGGTAGAAATATACTGTATAATAGTAAAGTTATTCAAGATAATGCCAAATTTATTGAAGATTTACATTATAAATATTCCCCCAAATTATTCAAAAGCATATTCTTCCAAACTCCTTGCTGTAGTATGACCACCAGGAGACTATTGATGTGTGGTGATTTTGGTAGTAATATACTGTATAATAGTGAATATTATTTAATTCTCTTTTTTCGGAGTTGCACTTTGCAGACGGTCCCTGAGCACTCGTTTCTTCTCCGGCTGCGGATAGAGACCAATGTAACGTGTCCAGCTCGGAGGACGGCGCGTATTGGCTTTTTTTTATCAAAATGTGATTGTAGTTCGTTGTCCTTACCACGGTTCTTAGGAGACGTCATTTGTGTCTGAATAACGTTTTGCTCATGAGTTATTGATCCGTGAAATCCGAATCTCCCAATATTGTTCCAACTTTACTGAACTAAGCCAGAAGACCGTCTCATTTCGTAGACCGCTCGGTTTGCTGTTCCTTCACTTTATTTTTATATTTATATACATTTATTTTGGACGAAAACTTAGCGTGAGGAAAGGCAAGTGTGGCGTGAGTGCGTGAGATATGGGTTGATTGCGTGACTCTCACGCTCAATGCGTGAGTGTTGGCAGCCCTGGTATAATATATATCAGTGACGTGCGGTGAGGTTCATGGCTGGTGAGGCACTGAGTCAGATTTACAAATATTATATTTTGACCTTAATCGAAATATTCGGTTATTTTCAAAAGCTTTTTTAGTCTGATGCTTCGATTCATTTTAAACAGACCGTTCAACAAAAGTATACCCAAAATCCCCATTTTCATTACAAATGTGGTCTTACCTTGACTTGAAGATGAAGTCCATGCTATCCTTCTGGACAACAATCTCTATTACTTTTTTGTAAAAGTCCTCCTTATCTTCCTGTAGTTTCAAAAGTCTAGTTTGTTGTTACGTCTACCGTCTCTGCGTAGAATTACAGTAGCAACAAGAACCTGTGGGCTCACGTGCGCCCCCTTCAGTGCGGCAGAGGTTATGGCTGCCTCCCCTGGTGCATTTTCATTGCCGTTGATACCAGCGAGCCTAAATATCATATATACGTGAAATAAGTTATTTAGAGACTATGGATGGCGAGGATAAATGTAATAAAGGGATCTACAAACATTACATTGGTGACCTACAGTGAGATGGTAACAGACATGCGCTTAGGGCCCGCTTTCCAGCCAGTTTCTGTGGGGTGACGCATTCTGAGGTGAGGCAGATCTCATCTGTGCCTCAACTCAGCCCACAGTAAATGGCTTGAGCGCGCTCACAAAATAAGTGCCCGCGCTGCATTAGTGCCCGCGCTCCAGCAAGTTACTGTGGGCTTACGAGAGGCAGAGCACGCCCCTGCCTCACTTGTCATCGCTCCCGTAGCGGAGCTCGGCAAATTTGCTGATTTTGACTCTGAGGCTCTGCCTCCCCTGCCTCCACTGACTGCACGTCACTGATATATATCATATCACTCAGTATAACAGGCCTACTCTCTTTATTTGCTTTAGTTTAGTAGATATCTACAAACAAAGTCGATATTGTTCTAAAACCATTTAGTGCTTCACATAATAAAATACACAACGGCTGTAGCCTGATTATATGCTTTAGGAGCTGTAGGTGCGTGTGTGTGGTGTAGGTGTGTGTGGTACAGTGTGTGCGTAGATGCAGCGGACAGACAGGTCTCAGTTGGTTTGGTGTCCTCTGCTTACTTGTAATACTTGTAAATAAAACTTTTGACCCGTCATTTATTTCCCTCATTGTAGCGACCAGAGAGGGGGGGGGGGGGGGATATATCCAGTCTCTGATAGTGTTACGTTATTATGAGAGTGCTCTGTTTGATTCTGAAATTGTATATATTTATATAAATATATACATATATGTGTTTGTGTCTGTGTCTGTGTGTATGTCCGCATCTGTAGCCTGTTATTGTCTCATTATACCGCACTGTGAATGAATTAAAAGTAAATATATAAGTCGTCATGAACACATCTGTCCATCAGACAGAGGGCTGCTGTGCCTCCTGTCATCATTAATGGGCGTCTCTTTAAAATGACCGCTCAGAGGAGAGGAGTTCTCATTTCTCTAACCGCCTGCTGCTTCCCCTCCTCTCTCCTCCGCTCCCCTCCTCGGCTCCTCCGCTCGCATCTCCTGTGGGCGGGACTAAGTCTCGAGGATAGGAGTCGAGGAGGGGAGTCGAGGAGGGACATTTGATGAAATGAGAACTGGGCCTCGTTAGGACTGGCTCACTTTATGGCGCATTTCCATTACAGTTTAGGAACTGGGGCAGTATCTATAGTAACGCAGTGTAGGCGGAGCCGTGACGTGATCTTCAGAGGACCCCAGAAAAACAACACAGCCGTTAGCTGTTAGCACTCAGAGCTCACAGCTCCTCATATATGTTCAGAAACTAGACAAAAGTTAAACAAGTACAAACCACAGACTGCCTGTGTCATGGTGAATACAGTCGCTGCTTTATTTATGTCTGTATAGGCCGTTGTTGTGAGTGTGGACGGTCGGGGCATATACTGCGTTAGCTTAGCCAATCTCCATTTAGAAAACAAGCATTTTAAAAGGTTTTTCCCCTGCCGTCTGTCTGCAGACTTGACAAAGCATTAATTCATGGTTTTTACTAACCGGTATCAGTATGTTGTTACTTCGGCATCATTTTGAAACGTGTATTACAATTAAATCACGGTCAAATATGTCCATCTTGTTGTAGTTGTTGCCCCCTTGCCAGCGACGCTTTCTCTAGTTTAGCAAACTCAGCCCGACTCAGCCTCGTTGTCTCGGCCCTGGCCCCACGATTTTATGAGGCCAGAAAAACTGTGAATTAGGACCCGCCGGCCGGTACTAGGCCAAGTGGAAACGCAACCAAAGACGGGCCGCTGACGTCACAGCCCTCTTAAACCGGGCTGCGGGCTGTAGTGGAAACGCGCCATAAGTGTGGCGCGAATGAGGCACACCTTACGTGTTGTTGTTGTTGTTGTTAGCATCTGATGCTAGCTAGCTGCGCTAACGGATATAAGGAGCTGTTTCAATGAAAACAGAGGAGCGACATTTCGCCGACAACTGCGCCGAGCACTTGACTTTATGCAGGTAGCCAGACAGTGGGACATTGTACGAAAAGTCAGCACACTCAGCACGGATAGTGCGCGCAACATGATTGCAGCGTCCAGGCAGCTCCCGTTCGAGCATATATGCCTTGATGCTGCACATAGCTCCAACGATCCATCACAGTGTCTCCACATTCTCTCACACACACACACACACACACACACACACACACACACACACACACACACACACACACTGTATTGTATTATTGTATGAGAGAGGTTCCAGGTTGAATTGAGGCGAATATTTGTAATGTTCAGGTTGTTGTGTTTAATATTCATGAGAATATTTGTCATTGTTCAAATGATAATAAACAAACATATAAAGCATATTTGTCCACTCATATGTTGATAAGAGTATTAAAAACTAGAAAAATATCCCTCTAAGGTACATTTAGAACAGATAAAAAATGTGCGATTAATTTGCGATTAATCGCGATTAACTATGGACAATCATGCGATTAATCGCGATTAAATATTTTAATCGACTGACAGCCCTAATAAATATCCTTCAGTTTCTCAAGAAATCAGCTGGGTTTACTTTCCGCTTCCTCTCTGTGTAGTTTTTGGTCCTGGTGTCCATCCTGGCAGTTGCTGTGGTTGTTTTTGGAGTGATTGCTAATTCCAGGAAAGTCGAGGTAAGATGGAACGAAAACAAACAAGAGAAGAATAAATGTTTAAAATGAAAATACTTTATGTATGTTCATGAAATTGTGTTTTATTTTTCAGAGTGGATTTAGCTTTGCGAACTTCTACTCTAGCATATATTTGCTGTGTGTGGCTAACAGCGACCCAGTTCTTGCTGTCACTCTCACATTCATCCAAAAACTGGTAAGCACTTTATTTCCTTCTTCCATTTGTTAAATGGAAGAAGATTACAACTTTAATTCAAAATTGTTGTTTGTCTTATATTGTTTCAGACTTGAGATGGCAACATGAATTACTCCTTACACCGAACCAGAGTGTTTTTAATATAATATAAAATAAAAGACAGCATGAAATAAATGATTCGAATTGAATAAATTGTGTAAATACATAAATGAACCAACATTTTCTTCAAATAATTGATTTGAAAAATAATTTAATTTAATTTAAAAGTGCTACTTCACTAATAAATAACCCCAAAAAAACATATGTTATCAATAAAAACTCTCCAAACATATAACTAAAATGAGTATTTAATAATATCTTTGGAGTCAGTTTTTATTCTAAAAAATCTCTTAATTCTTTGCCTTATTTATATAATTGAAAATGTGTTTAAATTAGAGTAGATTTGCTTATTACTCATGTCTTTATTTACTTCCACATTGATTATATAATGTGAGATGTAAAATATGTGGTTGTGATTCTTATTTATTTAATTGTCAGTGTTTTAAATCTCCCTTCATCTCGTTCCTCTGTAGCTTCACTGCTGTGGAGAGACCGGGATACCGTCGTTAGACTTTGCCAAGGAAACCTGTCCCGACCCAGACTCCTTTTCAGATCCCTTCTTGATGGATGTAAGTTAATGCCACTTAGCATTTTACTGTCATACTTTAGCCAGCATGCTAATGTACTATGCCAAATCCAAGCTTATATGTGTCCAGTATTGTATGAATTTGAGTTACGATATTTTTTAAAGACACTTACAATGTGGGTTCACTGCCCCCTAATAGTCGATTAATCACTAGTCGACTAATAAAGTCTTAATCAAGCAATTTTTCATTCGTCGAACATCATTTTACCTCTTCTTTCATTTTTATCTTTTTGTATTTCAACGTTTATTATCATGATTTAGCCTGTTAGCAATTAAATATGACAACACAAAGTTAGTATATCCGTCCAGTATCGTTTGATTTGAGTTATGATGTGTTCACTTAAGACAGTATTACAATGTTGGTTAACCTGTATTTGAAACGGACAAATAAATAAAAATATATAATATTCGACACGTTTACTAACATAGTTTAGCCTGTTAGCATGCTAGCAGTTAACTATGACAAAACTACATTTGTATATCCCTCATTCCCTCCAGTATTGTGTAGGATTTTTAGTTAGTATGTGTTCACTTAACCTGTTAAACCCCATCCCCCCGCCGGCGGGGGGAAAAACGCATCATCTGCAGGAAACAGCGTCTGAGGGCTTCTTAATATTTAATAAACTATGAATGTTTCATATCCATGTAACGGGGAGAAACTAATGATATGAAACATTTTTAGCAAAAAAAAACACAAGACTAACGCTGAGCCTCTGAATTAGCCCTGAGCGGAAAAAAAAAATATATATATAAAATATACTCACGGTATAAAACCCTTATTACTTATCGTAAATGCAAATCCAACCCATCGATTAACATTGTGAGATTACACAGATTTAACACTATTACAATGTAGGTTTACGTGTTTGTAAACTGACCAAAAATTAACATCTATTTTTCATATTTTCCTTCTAATATTTGCCACGTTGTTAGCATGCTAGCAGTTAACTGTGACAAAAGTTTGTATATCTTTCAAGTATCGTTTGATTTTGAGTTATTATTTGTTCACTAAAAGACACTTACAATGTAGGTGTTTGAAACGGATACAAAAAACACCCCTTTCCTCCTTCTCTTAGAATATTTACCACATTTAGTATCTTTGTTGCTAGCTTATTTTAAACTGTTAGCATGCTAGCAGTTAGCTATTACGAAACTAAGTTTGTTTATCTGTTCAGTGTTGTAAGATTTTTAAAAACACTATAACATGTGGGATTACATGTCTGACAAAAAATAAACCTATTCTTTCCCTCTTTTTCTTAGATTATTTGCCACATTTAATATCTTAGTTAGCCTATTTTAGCCTGTTAGCAGGCTAGCAATTATCTCTCCAGTGTTGTAGGATTTTGAGTTAAGATCTGTTTTAACTTTAGAAATTAGTACATTCTAGGTTTATATGTGTTAAACCGACAATAATTCCCTTTTTTCTTGGTGCTACAGGCTTGTCCTGGGGTGATTGTTGATGTCTTCATCAACAAAGCACCGCTGGTGATGGGCCTGTTCGTCGGAACTGGAGTTATTTTGGTAAGAGTAGTGAGTCTTGTATATCTTGTTGAAAAAAACAGCTCCATTCACTTTCAACATGCTTCATTTTGTCATCTCTCATTGTTCATAAAGTTATTACTTGTGGTCTAACCCTATGACCTCCTTTCTCTCTTTTAAAAAAAACTCCTCCCCCTGTCTTGATTCAAACTAATATTTCCCTAACCTTTTTTCACTCTCTTCATCACTGCTTCCCAAAAGCTCCTGGCTTTGATTTGCAGCTCAATCCTTGCTAAAAAGCTCAAGACCCCATCCTCTCCTCAGTACACCATCCTGACTTAGCCTCCACCATCTCAGCTTGAATATATCCCCACCTCCACCTCCATTTCCTACTCGTACCCCGAACAGAAGCCGGTGGTCTTCACACCTCTGACTGTGGCCAACATCCCCATAGTTATAACTTAGAGAGCACTTTTACCACAATGCTCGGGCATAGAGGATACAGATCTGGGTTTATTTTCACATTCACATTACTTCATGTTCATCTCTTCTGTGCTGTGGGGTCTCTTCAGCTCCCTTTAAAGGAAAAATCCACCCTTAAAGGCACAAATATAACGGCACTTAAGTTATTGGATCTTTTATGTTGTTTTACGTTTTTATTCCATTAGATAATGGAAAAATGCTTATCTGCAAATATTTTCCAAGCACTACTAAAGAAGGGGAATGAGAAATATTTAAGCAAAAGAGCAATTATTTTTCAATACATTTTTTTTAAATGTGTTATTATTTAAATACTGCACATATTTAAGAACCTTAATTAGTTTTTAAGCATGTTTATCTATGGTCAAAAAATACATATATCCAGGGTTGGATTTTTCCTTAAAGTGTCTTCATATCTCTCATATCATTTTGCCTTCCACACAAGTCTCTTTGTGTGGCTGCATGCTAATTGCTAGCCTGGGCTGGTACCTGTCTTACATCAAAACTCCTTCTGTGGCTGGTGTGACCCGGGTGAGGAAGCCTGGCTCTTATTCCCATCCCTCCTCTTCACCTCCCCTCCTCCCTTTGTGTCTGAATGACAGGTTGTTGCCCTGGTCTGCAGCATTGTCTTCCTGACACTGACCAAGAGAGAGCAGCAGGAGATCACTGCGCGATACAACCCTCCAACAGGAAGTTATCAAACCCTCCAACCAATTTTGTCCTGCAAATCCCTCGTCGGCTGGACGAGCTACTAACGTTAAGCTACGAGTGGCTACTAACGTTAGCTGCTGTCTACTTCTCCTCCCAGCTCGATCATCTGCCATGCTGTGGATCTTTCTGTGTTTCTGGCTCTTTCCCCATCTCTGGTCGGCAGGTCCAGGGACGTGTACACATAGACATCGAAGTGGGCTTTAGCCCCTGCCCTTTTTCTTCCTCCAGAGAAAGTTATTTTTTTAAATATTTATTTTTAATAAATGAATATATATCTACTGCTGTTTGCGCACAGTGTCCCTTTCCAAAAAATATATATTGATTGAATAAAAAATATATATATCAGGTCGGGAGATTAGACTGTCAAGTTCCGATGCTCTCTCTACCCTCCCACCCTCCACGTTTCGCACACAGCGGTGCGGACAGTCATCGGCAGTCACCTCAGACAGACAGGTAGCAGCACCTCCAACCTCACAGTCCCATGTTATGCCGGCTTTTCTTGGCTTGTTTGAAGGTGAGTGGTGATGAACAAATGACTAAACTGCCAGTGCCTCTAGTTTACAGAGCTTAGCCAAAAGCCAAAAACCAAATAGTTAAAGTGGACCTATCATGCTATATTTGAATAATATAGTGTAGGACCATACCTATATAAGGCATATTTATACTTTTTTTTTTTTTCAAAATACCAAACAGATCATGCATTTTAGCCATGCCTCATTTTGCTCAATTTGACATTTTTTAGATCTGTTTTAGCAAGGGTTGATTCAGTGAGAACAGCACCATCTAGAGGCCTGGCATATGTACTACAACGTCTCCAGCGCTTTCGAACGGCAATGCCGTGGTTGTCTCCTCCTGATTGGTGGAGTTGGCCCAATAGCTGTAGCGCCACCGTCCTGACGTCAGGACAGTGTTCAAATCTGGATCAGTTTTTATCAGATCCGTTGCAGCCCCTTTTTTAGAGATTTGGGTATGGAGGAAAATAGAGAGGGTTGTGTTTTCTGACACTTGGTGAGTTCCCTGGAACACCGGGGACACATATTCATGTATAAAAGACGTACAAAAGTGCATTTTGCATGATAGGTGGCTAATGGATAAGTTAGCTCATGGGCGTAGGCTAATGTACTGTACTTAAGGGGAGACACTACAGGTGAATACAGTAAAATGTGTATCTAATAACGTCATCACAATCGCCACATTGATATGCAAATTAGACGTTACATATAGCCTAATCAAATTGCGCCAATTTGCATGCAGTTACCAAGGCATTGCAGGAGAAAAGGATAAAAAAAAAAAAAATACATATCACCTCACAACTTCCCCAGATAGTCAAGTCAGTATTTTCCCCTGAAATGTTATGTTTAAATGCAGATTAGCTTAAAATCTATAGATGAATTCAGACAGGTAGTAAAACGAACACCATTTATATGTGTTTTTTGGAAGTTTTCTTTCCATTAGTGAAAGAAAACATTGAAGCAAAATAGACCAAAATGTACAAGTACATGAAAAAACGATATTTTTGCCTGTAATGTCCTTAAACAGTAACTTCATAATTCTGATTGTTGTCTGCTCTTGTGCGTAGTGTTAGTTGAATTATGTTGAGTATTAAACAATTGCGTGAGTGTGAGGGTATTAAAATAAATGTGTCCGTAAGTCTTTTATAAATTATTATGGGAAGTGCCCTTTTTCTCACTTGAGCTCCTGCCCCCCCAAAATGTCTGTGCACGTCCCTGGGCAGGTCGGTGGCAAACACAAACAGCTACCAACTCTGCATCTGTCCTCCTGACCCTCAAGCACTTGATGTAAAAATCCATTAGCTCATTTAGACCTGAATAATTAGCACAACAAGGTAAAAGAGTCATCTTTATAATGCAAAAGATGTTGACAAAGACTATGTAACATTTGTAAACATATATTTAAATTATTATATGACAAATATGTAAAATTAGACAATACATTTTAAAGCACAAGTATACAGACAGGACGTCACAATTAAATAAAAACATATATTAAATACAAATTTTACTGAAAAAGAAGTGACGAATGAATGCAAAATCCAGGATTCGACAACTCAACCATCAAAATACGGAGCGAAAAGTTTAACCACAAGAGTCAAGACATGAGCTACCACTAAACGACTGAAAATTACCATAAAAAAACCCCTAAAATCACAAAAAATCGAATAGCGGACTATACGTTTAATTTTCAAATGCGCGTTCCCGTGACAAGGGGTGCATTTCACGGCGGGGGTGCATCATTTTGCACAACACCATATGATGCTAAAGTACTCCATCACGCAGCTGCTCGAGTTAATACATTACAGCACTCCAACCTGTATCTCAGCACAGTCAACACATGATCACTTTCATTTTTCCACCACAATATTCACATTTGTATTCCTTCATGCTCTTGCAATCTAATTGTTGTGATCAAATGCATCAAGTGTCTTGTTCAGTATTTCTTGTCCTTCTCTTTGTCTTTGCCCTGTAGTTTTTACACTATACGTTTTCTAATAAATATTCCATTCGGGGCTTTTCCCCTTTTCTTCATCAAGACTTGTGTTTCTGTTATTTCCATGAAACAAAACCAGAGTGCAGGTGTGTAAAAATGTTTATTTCAATTCTCACATGTCACTGTCAGGACCTTTGAGGGAAAAACACAAGTTAGTGTCGTGATAAACGAGTCCACATGTCACAGTCTGCTTTCTCACTCGCCTATTTTCTGCATTTACATTCCTTAGTCACCTGGTAGTCACATCCTGTCTCTCTCTCTCACTCTGTTACACCCATCAGCTCCATTAGTATATAGGCCCACTTCACTTTCACCTCAGTGCCAGATCGTACTTTGCAGCATGCCAGTCTTTCCCGCATTACCTTCCAGATTGCTCTCCCGGTTTCAACCCTGCCTGTCCCTGACCAGCCTGCCTCGCCTGATTCCTGACCCTGCCTGTACCCGGACTATTCTGCCTCGCCTGCTCCCTGACCCGGTCTGTACCTGCGACTCCCGTCTTGCTTTCTCCTGGAACCCTCGCCTGTCCCCGACCAGCCCTTTGCCTACTATCTGCCGTTTCGTCTCCTACCAGCTTATTGCCTTTAATAAAGCTGGTTACCAACTATCCCTGGTTTCCCGTATGTTGCATTTTGGTTCTCAGCTCGTTTGTGACACCACATATATTCGTTGGTTATCACATATTTGATTTTTCTATAGTCTTGAATTGTGCTTTAGAAAGGCATGTTTGTAAAGCCCTTTCGAATGATGCAATACTAAGTGAAACATAATTACTTAATTGGGTAATGGGAATGCAAGCAGACACAGATAAGAAACAAGTGACATCACTATGTAACACTCAAGCTTCTATTGGTTATCGCTGCAACACATTGTACATGATAGGCTAAGGGGCGGGACATCTCTAAGAGGTTGACCAATCACAACAGAGCTGGCCAGCTAACCAATCAGAGCAGACTGGGCTCTGGTTTCAGACAGAGGGTGAAAAGAGGTGCTGCAGCACAGGCAGTATGAGAAAAATAAAGAGCTTTTTGAACATTAAAGCATGGAGACATGTCCCAGTAGAGACACTACATACTGATATACACCTGAACATCATCAGGAGAGGACTCTTTAAAGTAGAGACACTACATACTGATATACACCTGAACATCAGCAGGAGAGGACTCTTTAAAGTAGAGACACTACATACTGATATACACCTGAACATCAGCAGGAGAGGACTCTTTAAAGTAGATGCACTACATACTGATATACACCTGAACATCAGCAGGAGAGGACTCTTTAAAGTAGAGACACTACATACTGATATACACCTGAACATCAGCAGGAGAGGACTCTTTAAAGTAGAGACACTACATACTGATGTACACCTGAACATCAGCAGGAGAGGACTCTTTAAAGTAGAGACACTAAATACTGATATTATATACACCTGAACATCAGCAGGAGAGGACTCTTTAAAGTAGAGACACTACATACTGATATACACCTGAACATCAGCAGGAGAGGACTCTTTAAAGTAGAGACACTACATACTGATATACACCTGAACATCAGCAGGAGAGGACTCTTTAAAGTAGAGACACTACATACTGATATACACCTGAACATCAGCAGGAGAGGACTCTTTCAAGTAGAGACACTAAATACTGATATTATATGCACCTGAAAAGGAGCAGGAGAGGACTCTTTAAAGTAGAGACACTACATACTGATGTACACCTGAACATCAGCAGGAGAGGACTCTTTAAAGTAGAGACACTACATACTGATATACACCTGAACATCAGCAGGAGAGGACTCTTTAAAGTAGAGACACTAAATACTGATATTATATGCACCTGAAAAGGAGCAGGAGAGGACTCTTTAAAGTAGAGACACTACATACTGATGTACACCTGAACATCAGCAGGAGAGGACTCTTTAAAGTAGAGACACTAAATACTGATATTATATACACCTGAACATCAGCAGGAGAGGACTCTTTAAAGTAGAGACACTACATACTGATATACACCTGAACATCAGCAGGAGAGGACTCTTTAAAGTAGAGACACTACATACTGATATACACCTGAACATCAGCAGGAGAGGACTCTTTAAAGTAGAGACACTACATACTGATATACACCTGAACATCAGCAGGAGAGGACTCTTTAAAGTAGAGACACTAAATACTGATATACACTTGAACATCAGCAGGAGAGGACTCTTTAAAGTAGAGACACTACATACTGATATACACCTGAACATCAGCAGGAGAGGACTCTTTAAAGTAGAGACACTACATACTGATATACACCTGAACATCAGCAGGAGAGGACTCTTTAAAGTAGAGACACTAAATACTGATATTATATGCACCTGAAAAGGAACAGGAGAGGACTCTTTAAAGTAGAGACACTACATACTGATGTACACCTGAACATCAGCAGGAGAGGACTCTTTAAAGTAGAGACACTACATACTGATATACACCTGAACATCAGCAGGAGAGGACTCTTTAAAGTAGAGACACTAAATACTGATATTATATGCACCTGAAAAGGAGCAGGAGAGGACTCTTTAAAGTAGAGACACTACATACTGATGTACACCTGAACATCAGCAGGAGAGGACTCTTTAAAGTAGAGACACTAAATACTGATATTATATACACCTGAACATCAGCAGGAGAGGACTCTTTAAAGTAGAGACACTACATACTGATATACAGCTGAACATCAGCAGGAGAGGACTCTTTAAAGTAGAGACACTACATACTGATATACACCTGAACATCAGCAGGAGAGGACTCTTTAAAGTAGAGACACTACATACTGATATACACCTGAACATCAGCAGGAGAGGACTCTTTAAAGTAGAGACACTAAATACTGATATACACTTGAACATCAGCAGGAGAGGACTCTTTAAAGTAGAGACACTACATACTGATATACACCTGAACATCAGCAGGAGAGGACTCTTTAAAGTAGAGACACTACATACTTATATACACCTGAACATCAGCAGGAGAGGACTCTTTAAAGTAGAGACACTACATACTGATATACACCTGAACATCAGCAGGAGAGAACTCTTTAAAGTAGAGACACTACATACTGATATACACCTGAACATCAGCAGGAGAGGACTCTTTAAAGTAGAGACACTACACACTGATATACACCTGAACATCAGCAGGAGAGGACTCTTTAAAGTAGAGACACTACATACTGATATACACCTGAACATCAGCAGGAGAGGACTCTTTAAAGTAGAGACACTACATACTGATATACACCTGAACATCAGCAGGAGAGGACTCTTTAAAGTAGAGACACTACATACTGATATACACCTGAACATCAGCAGGAGAGAACTCTTTAAAGGGCCCATGTCATGGCCATTTCCACTGATCATAATTACATTGTTGAGGTATACTAAAATAGATTTATACTGTGCAATTTTCCAAACTCACATTGGTTTCGCATACAGCATCTCTGTCAAGCATGTGTATTCAGCAGTATTCACTTTCTCCACTAAACGACTCGTTGGAGCTCTTGCCCCCCCCTCCCTGTGAGCCTAGTGTGCTCCGATTGGTCAGCTCGGCCACTCGTTCTGATTAGTCAACCACCAGAGAGGCTGCGCCCATGTCAGTGCTTTTCCCGGCTGCTCTCAGCGTAACATCAGTCTTATCATGGCGTCGGTACAGCGGTATATTTTATATACATATATATTTTTAACTGTTGTTATAGAAGAGTGTGACGGCCCCAGGGCCTTTGTCTTACGATGGGGTGGAGCTGAAGAGGCTAATCAGCACGATCACGGACACCTCCGGACACAGTCTCTCTCCAAAGCGGCTGCAGGAAGACTAACTCTGCGATCCTCTCAACCACCTATCTTTGCATTTACCACAATAAATGTGCCGTGGTTTTGTAAACTCGTGTATGTCTCCTTGTCTTTCCGTTGTGGCCTACGAGCTACTCTCATAACAAAGAGTAAGTTATTTTTACCCGTTATAAACTACTACTGTTTGATGAGAAATCAAATCATGGTTTGCTATATATGAATTCAGGGAAGAAAGGATAGGCCTACTAAGTATTTCCATTAAACTTTATTTTTAGAAATGTACAAAATGAACATAAATATACATATATACACACGGTATATCATTCATTCCTCCTCCTCGCATCTTGCCTGCGCACAGTCGGTGCGGTGCCTTTTAGCACCCTCAGTAGTAGTAGAATCCCTTCCCCGTCATGGATTGTCCGCCAGGATCTGGCTGGACGAAATCAAATGCAAATCACAAAATATTAGAGAAACTTAGTTGTTTTAGATTCGTTAGTAGTAGTTGTGTAATGAACAGCTTGCCTGCTAATATGCTAACCTAGCTTTGTTTACCTTGGTAGCTAACACGATATGAACGTTAGCTTGGAGGAAAGGCAACTATAATGCAGTGTAATAAAACTACTATGAACAAAAGCTAGTGGTTCATATTAGGCTAGCAATAACGTGTTTATAATTGCAATCGTATACGGGTATTCTGCTACCATACAATGTAACTTGCATGAATACATTGTTTTGCGCTAGCATACAGCTAGCCTCGTTAGCTACATGCAGTATATGTACGGTCACAATGTACGGTAAATCACAGTACAGTATACTGTATGAGTATTCCGTGTGTGTGACTGCAGACATTCTCCTGCCATGACAAACATGTAAGGCCATCTGCTGACATTGTAGTTGATATATTTAAACGCTAGCAACGTAGCATCACAAAAATGTTTTTCTGACCAAAACTAGCTCTAGCTCCGTGTGTTAGATCGCTACGCCAGCTATAATGTAATTACGTTTCGCGACTGACCGGCAAATCACCCGGAGTATACTGTCAATAGGTATTTTGTGTGTGAATGCAGACATTCTCCTGCTATGAGATACATGTATGCAAGGCCATCTGCTGATATTAGAGTTGATATATGGAAACTCTAGCAACTTAGTTAGCACAGTTAGCACTGTGTCAATGGCTTAGCAGTCCAACACAGTTTACACATTTAAACAGTCTTGTTTGATAAATACACAAATAACAATGCAAACTTACAGGTTGTATACCCAGATCTTCCCCTGCTCCAAACGGTCCAAACAAGCTGTGCATATCCGGCCTCAAACTGGGCAATGTTTTGGAAGCTTTCGTCTGTGAAATGCCGGTTCTTCGAACCTCTGGAGGAGGAACACGCCGCTGCTGGTGTGGCCATAGCTCTTCGGGATTGGTCCATTTCGTTCCGGGTACCGCATGACATCATGCGGTACCCGGAAGAATCAAATGGGCAGTGACGTATCTCCAACGAGGCGTTTTGGGGAGGTATTTTCTGTGTTAGAGTTTTACTCGCTACAGGGTGTACTTTGAGGGTTTTGACTCTGCACACCGTTTACATGCATAAAAACCTTCATAACACACAAGGGGACGGGTAATAACCGGAAAAGCATGACATGGGAGCTTTAAAGTAGAGACACTACATACTGATATACACCTGAACATCAGCAGGAGAGGACTCTTTAAAGTAGAGACACTACACACTGATATACACCTGAACATCAGCAGGAGAGGACTCTTTAAAGTAGAGACACTACATACTGATATACACCTGAACATCAGCAGGAGGGGACTCTTTAAAGTAGAGACACTACATACTGATATACAGTACACCTGAAAAGGAGCAGGAGAGGACTCTTTAAGTAAAGAAGGGAGACTGAGCTTGAGATAGTGATGGAGTCATGAGAGAAAGTTGGGATGGTCGTTACTTTCTAAATGCACTTGTGGTCAGAAAGAGATTTCAACAAATGAGTTTTGAAAGCATTTTGAGCAGCTGGAGAAGTCATGTGATACGTTTCTGGTTGTTGAACAATAACCCAGTAAATCCACAACATACATTATGATCATTTCACGCTCAATGGTTGCCCGTTTTTTTCTTTTGATGTTGTTGTTTTCCCAGTAGACTTGTGTAGTAAGTATATATTTTATAGTGGTTGGATGGGGGAAGTGTGTACAGTAGCAACATGGGAAAAGTGGCAATGTTAACCCTTAGATGCACGAGTGACTGGACCCTACACTCTTCCATAAGTGGGTCTAAAAGGACCCGTATTAGAATAATATGTGTTTTTATGCAATTTTTGTCATTTTGGTTAAGAAAAATCTCTTGTATAATATTGAGTATTATATTTTGGTTCACACTAGAAATATTTTATATTTAATTTTTCACTATTTATAATTTTAGAAATTTCTTTTACATTTTGAAAAAAAACGTTTTCCCATAGGATTCCATAGAAAATGCATGCGGGTCAGTTTTGACCCACTTATGGAAGCTTGGGGTACTAATACAAAAACTACAATTTCTTAAAATGTAAATTAAAAATGTGAATGGCATGATATCCAAAACATCTTTTTTGAGGAATAGCTGGAATATGAAATGATACATTTTTTTAATTACAAAGATACTTCAAGAATACCACCTCACCGGGTCCAAAAAGACCCACTTATGGAAGCTTGAGGTAGTAATACAAAAACTACAATTTCTTAAAATGTATAAAATTTTAATTTAAAATTAGAATGGCATGATATCCAAAACATGTTTTTTGAGGAATAGCTTGAATATGAAATGATAAAAAAATGTAATTACAAAGATACTTCAAGAAAACCACCTCACCGGGTCCAAAAAGACCCACTTATGCATCTAAGGGGCATAATAAAAACAGACGGACGAGTGTGTGGTTTTGCACTAATGTCCCACAATGCAATGAAACAAGGACATTAAAAAACTAATATGTAATACATTTCAGATAGATGTAAGGCCACTACCCACAGTCCACAGAACGAGCAGTTTGACAACCCCAGCAACATTACCATATCTAAAACGGGAGAATAAAATGATGTATAGTGAAAAACAAAAAGCATACGAAATAAAAATAATGACACTCGGCAGAATATTTAAATTGCATTGTTTTTTTGGCATATAATAAGGCAAATCATAAGTAAAACTCGCGTAGAAATAATGCTTTCATGCAATGGACATTTAGCGTTTCTCTGCCTCTTTACATCACACTCACTTTAGCACCGTTGTTTTGCACATGTTGTGAGTTGCAGATGTTTACCGCTGCTCAGAAACATACTTCCTGTTCCTCTTGAGTGTTCATTTCCTGTTTTACTGCCTTTCAAAAACCACACACTCTGCCTGGAGCGTTTGGTTCTTCTCAGCATGGCGAGTGTGGTGCAGATTTTCTTGTGGGCCTGGATTATTAAACACTCAAGGGTGTGTTCGGACTCACTTCCAGAAAACACTTCAAAGAGGTTTGTTATTGAATGTTTGGAGGAACACAACAGGGCGCGGTCATCCGTCAATCCACCTGCACGTGACATGCTGTTCATGGTAGGCATCATTGGTATTTAATCATCATCTTTCTCACACGGATGACTAACTGACAGACGTGCAGTGATTAAATGAATTCAGTGACACCTCAAAGATAAAGTTAACCTCCATAAGGGTAGACAATTAAGCTCTAAATCAGTGGTGGAAAGTAACTCAGTACATTTAATCAACGGAGGTACTTGTACTTCACCCGAGCATTTTCATTTTATACTACTGTGTAATTCTACTCCACTACATTTTGGTAGCCAATTTTGTACTTTTTACTCCACTGCATTTATTCTACAGATTGATGTATAAGTTACTTTATGAATTCAGCTTTTCAAATATGATTATTTGGTATAGATTTAAAGGGGACCTATCATGCCAAATGCACTTTTGTACGTCTTTTATACATGAATATGTGTCCCCGGTGTTCCAGGGAACTCACCAAGTGTCAGAAAACACAACCCTCTCTATTTTCCTCCATACCCAAATCTCTAAAAAAGGGGCTGCAACGGATCTGATAAAAACTGATCCAGATTTGAACACTGTCCTGACGTCAGGACAGTGGCGCTACGGCTATTGGGCCAACTCCACCAATCAGGAGGAGACAGCCACGGCCATTGCCGTTCGAAAGCGCTGGAGACGCTGTAGTACATATGCCAGGCCTGTAGGTTGTGCTGTTCTCACTGAATCTGCCCAGAGCTAGAAATGGTCAAATTGAGCAAAATGAGGCATGGCTAAAATGCATGATCTGTTTGGTATTTTTTTTTTTTAAAGTATAAATATGCCTTATATAGGTATGGTCCTACACTATATTATTCAAATATAGCATGATAGGTCCACTTTAAGTAAAGAAGGGAGACTGAGCTTGAGATAGTGATGGAGTCATGAGAGAAGGTTGGGATGGTCGTTACTTTCAAAATGCACTTGTGGTCAGAAAGAGATTACAACAAATGAGTTGTGAAAGCACTTTGATGGAGAAGTCATGTGATCAGTTCCTCATTATTGAACAATAACCCAGTCAATCCACAACATACATTATGATCATTTCACGCTCAAGTGTTGCCAGTTTTATTCTTTTTATGTTGTTGTTTTCCCAGTAGACTTGTGTAGTAAGAATAGATGTTATAGTGGTTGGATGGGGGAAGTGTGTACAGTAGCTTCACGGGAAAAGTGGCAATGTTAAGCATATTAAAAACAGACAGATGAGTGTGTGGTTTTGCACTAATGTCCCACAATGTAATCATTAAAGTGTTCTCAAAGCTGGTAAAGGTGCAGCTAGTTTGAATGACTTTGTATACTGCAGGGTAGCTTGTGAATTTACTCCAGGTGGAAGTAAAGTCTGATTTAAGACTTGATTATATTTCACATCATTCATCCACATCTAACTAAAGGTGTTAAATACATGTAGTGGAGTGAAAGTACACCATTTACCTCTGAACTAGTGGAGTAGAAGAACAAAGTAGCATAACATGGAGATACTTGAGTGAAGACAAGTACCTCCAAATTGTAATTAAATACAGTACTTGAGTAAATCTACTTAGTTACTTCCAACCTCTGCTTGTTTTGGGGCCGTTTTTAAATCCTGGACAAATGGAGAGTAAGTGAGAAGATGTTATTATGTTATTTAGTTATTTAGCCTAAGCTTTATGGAGCTAAATAAGTGTCTGATTGAGAGGAAGCTGCTTTATATTCTCTCTGTATCAGACGTGGGACGAGGGTCTTGCCATCACTGCAGCAGCGTGGGCGAGGAACTGTTTGTTTGTACACAACGTACACCTCGAAGATGTCCGCCGTGTGCATCCTACCTTCTCCTCTGTGGGAGAAAACCTCTGGGCTGGATTCCCAGCGTCACATTTCAACGTGACGAGAGCGATCAAAAGTTGGGTGGATGAAGTACACAAATACGACTTCGACCAAAACAGATGCTCAGGCGTCTGTGGCCACTACACACAGGTATATTCAATATATACACATATATATATATATATATATATGTATATTCAATATATACATATATATATATATATATATATATATATATATATATATATATATATACAGTGGTGTAATGTACTGTACTTAAATAAAACATGTAGGTACTTTGTTACTTTATATTACACATTTAGGTACTAGTTACTTTGCAGATGTAGGTAATAATAGAAAATATAAATCCACACACATTATTATATATTATTATAGGCTACCCAGTAGTGTGTAAAGTAATTCAAATAAACCCCACCTTTACTAAGTGCAACATTTAAGGGAAGAACAAATGAATGCACAAATAATTTGTATAAAATAAATCAAATAATTAAAAGATAACTAGTGCTTAAAATGGACCAATCTGCACAATGACTACTTTTACTTTTGGTACTTTAAGTATATTTTGATGCGAATACTTTTGTACTTTTACTTAAGTAACATTTTGAAGACAGTACTTTTATTTATAATATAGTATTCCTACACTCTGGTACTTCTACTTTTACTCAAGTACAAGATCTGAGTACTTCTACTTTTACTCAAGTACAAGATCTGAGTACTTCTACTTTTACTCAAGTACAAGATCTGAGTACTTCTCCCACCTCTACTGGCTGCTATCTCTTATTTAGACTATTCAAATACTGTAACACAATCTTTAAAAACTGTGCAATATATACTTTTATTTTCACTGTCCGGCTGCTATCACACTATTTCTACATGCTACACTTATTTTAATAATATTACTACTTCACCTTCTCCCATATTTTATGCATGCCTCTCTAACAAATACATGTCCCCTCTTTAGGACTAAGGAAGTATTCTGATGTGCACACTTCTGTAGAAACAAAGATCGTTCCTTTTGGGGAAATGTTTTTCAAGAGATCTCATGAGGCAACAAGCAAAGAGGAACTGGTTGTGATGTTTTTATATTTAGTCACACATTTTAACCCTTTGCTCGGATGTCCTTCAGGTTGTGTGGGCGAGCAGCTACAAGGTTGGCTGTGCCGTGCAGCTGTGCCCGAACGGAGTCGAACGCACAAGCTTTGCTTCTAGAGAGGGGGCTATCTTTGTGTGCAACTATGCTACTGGGTAAGTACAACAGAAAAACAGTTGAAGTCACTCCAACATTGATATTTATAAAGAAAACATATTTAAAAAGGCCCTTTCCTGTAGTGTGTTCTATAGGTTTGTGCGCATGCAGATGGTCTGCTAAGGCTAAAATCCCACATTTCTGGAACATAGCAACATCACTATGTAACACTCGTGCTTCAACACATTGTGCGTGATAGGCTAAGGGGCGGGACTTCTCTAAGAGGTTGACCAATCACAACAGAGCCGGCCAGCTAACCAATCAGAGCAGACGGGGCTCTGGTTTCTGACAGAGGGTGAAAAGAGGTGCTGCAGCACAGGCAGTATGAGAAAAATAAAGAGCTTTTTGAACATTAAAGCATGGAGACATGTCCCAGTAGAGACACTACATACTGATATACACCTGAACATCAGCAGGAGAGGACTCTTTAAAGTAGAGACACTACATACTGATATACACCTGAACATCAGCAGGAGAGGACTCTTTAAAGTAGAGACACTACATACTGATATACACCTGAACATCAGCAGGAGAGGACTCTTTAAAGTAGAGACACTACATACTGATATACACCTGAACATCAGCAGGAGAGGACTCTTTAAAGTAGAGACACTAAATACTGATATACACCTGAACATCAGCAGGAGAGGACTCTTTAAAGTAGAGACACTACATACTGATATACACCTGAACATCAGCAGGAGAGGACTCTTTAAAGTAGAGACACTACATACTGATATACACCTGAACATCAGCAGGAGAGGACTCTTTAAAGTAGAGACACTACATACTGATATACACCTGAACATCAGCAGGAGAGGACTCTTTAAAGTAGAGACACTACATACTGATATACACCTGAACATCAGCAGGATACGTCCTCTTTTTAATCATAGTCTACTCATCCACTCTGGTGCAAAGGAAGGTGTCAACCACTTGCTGAAGCAGTGACTTGTTTTTTTTAGAAAATCAGCTTTAAAAGTGTCTATTTGTCGATCTTTTGTAAAGTTTTAAGGAAGAACCAATGGGCTCGAGACTGAGAGCTCATTACAGAAATCAGAAAGTATTGAGAGATGGTCTAAATTATTTTGGTCTTTTCATGGGAACATTGTACATTTCTAGTCGTATTATTAATATATATTGTAATTAGTTTATGTTAAGTGTCTTGGCCCCTATTCGGAAGCTTTGTATAGTTTATCGGGCTGTCACATTTCACACCTCACCATTGTGTCTCATCTGTTGTATTTTATAACTTAAATAAACAATGGTTCCTTGTGCAGGGGTAATTTGAACGGGAGAAAACCCTATAGTCCAGGGTCCGGCTGCTCGGGATGTATCGGCACCTGTGTGGACAATCTCTGCCGTAAGTATCCACGTTTAGTGATGCAAAAAGTACTTCATATTCTCATTCTGAATTAGGTTTTAGTAACAGATCACCAACAAATGTGTACCTTTTTTTTACCTAGACCGCATTTCAATCAGGAGAGACATCATTTTGTTTAAAGAACATTTATTGACACATGTCATATAATAAATGTTAAGTCTTTGGCGATTAGACCCCGATCCTGATATCGTATATCTAAAGGGTGAAATGCGGCCGTGAGCATATAGGGAACCCCCCCCCCCCCGGGGTCTAGACTGAAAGAACTTGCGCTGAGCTTCATTTATTTTAAGATGGTCACTGTTCAATAATTGAAAGACCTAAAATGTAAGAAAGCCGAGACATAAAAAGGTTTACCGTGTTATAAGAACTGCAAAGGAGAATAGAGACATGAAGAGGAAGAGGGTTAGGGCCAAAAGTGACTTTTTTTGGGAGATCTGAGATTAAAGTTGAAATTCTCAGTAAAACGTTTAGAATTCGGAGAATGAAGAACTCAGTGAATTCTGACTTTGCATAAATGTTTTATAAATATTTTTGAAAACTTTAATAACCAAATTAAATTATGTGAAAAACTTTCATCTCACTTTTTTTTTCAGAATTTTGACTCAAAAATGCACTTTTGGTCAGATCTAAAAGAATATCTAATGAACACAATGTATATCTGGACAAGTATTAATTATAGATTTTAACTTTTTCCTTTCTTAATGTCTTTGCAGGTAGCCCTGATCGAGACAAACAGAAAAGTAAGTGATGGCACGAAGGATGGAGAAAATAAGTTGTTTAGAAATATGTCAGATTAAAAACGCTATATAGTTGTTTATTTATACACAAGCTTACTGTACTCTCTAATGCATTTCTTAGACCATTATTGCCCCATATAATGTGTCTGTGTTTAATATGTCTTACCTTTTCTAAACCAATGCTAAGACTGATGAACTAAAGAGACCATTTAGTAGTTTAGGGTTACTTTTAGCTTGTAATGTTTCTGTATAAAACATGAACTCTCTTCATTTCTCGATGTATTAATATCCCTTATACTTTAGTGTCTTGGCCCCTCTTCTAAAGCTTCCTATAGCTCATTAGGATGTGCCATTTCACGTGTCTCCATTGTCTGTTTTATTGATTAATAATAATCATATTTAATGTGTGCTCTCAGGTTACGGATGGACCCCAGATTGGGATCCGGCTCTTTCTAAGCGCGGCTACGTTCCCGGTTTAATCGTCCGTCCTCTTGCACTCGTCTTCACCTTCATCGCTGCATTCGCTGTGCACCACTTCTATCCAAATGTCTTCTTCTACGAGTAAAACCACTGTGGTGTTCATGGTCTTATTTATTAATGGGCTCAGATCGGGGTGTCAAATGTACGGCGGTTACTGCAAAGTGTAAAAAAGGTAGGAGAAGTACTCAGATCTTGTACTTGAGTAAAAGTGCTAGTGGCTTATCCAACCGGCCCACCTCAGTGCCGCAAGTATATACTGCTAGTAAATTGTCGACGGGGGGGGGGTGCTAGTGACTTATCCGACCGGCCCACTTCAGTACCGGCCCATCGGGATTCGTCCCGAACGTCCGATGGCCAGTCCGCCCCTAACGGGGTCCTTGAAATAAGTTAGACACCCTTGACTTAGGTGAAGATGGAGCTAACACTGTGTTTTTCTATATTCAAGCTTTTAAGACTTGTGATATAATTCTGAATGCATTTAACCTGCTTACCTCTTTAAAAGGGACACTGCTTGCCATAGATTTCATCCATCAGACTCGCATGTTTTGGAGGGAAACTAAAGTCAACACAGCCAATAACTCCTCACTGCTCATTAAAACAAATGGACCACATATTTCCGTCAGATGTTGGTGGATCGAGCTGAAGGAATTTGTATAATCGTGATATTTATGACCGTATTTCCTTATGTTCGCACCCCCATACACCAAAGCTAAATCCTTGTATGTGTAAACGTACTAACAATAAACCCGATTCTGATTAAAAACATGTCTTTATTTTTACATTTCCATCCGTTTCAATCTGCCTGAACACACATAGGGAAGTAGAGCAGTACGTTTTTTACACCTATACAAAACCAGGAACTGTATGAGAAAGAAAAAAAGGAAATGTTTGCTCTCACACATCTCTCTCTTCGACTGAGAATTGGTCTCGATTAGTAATACGAACAGGAAATCCTTATTACAAAAGTAGCTCGAAATATTTCTCTGTATTTAGAGTCGTTCAGAAACGTCCATTGATCCAAACACACACACACTTTGTGACTCCTTGCTGTGTGAGTGTGTGCTTAGCATTTCTTTTTTGTTTTGCTCCTTTGCTTTTTGTTCATGTTGCCACTGGGGGGGGGCGCTGGGTTCACTGGTGGAGCCCCCAGTCTCTTAGTTTTGGCTTTTTTCACTTTCTCCTTTAAGGCCTCGATGTCCAGCTTGCCTTCTGTAGAAACTGTGGCAAAAACAAAGCGAGGTTAGCAGGACTACAGCGTGCACAAGTGTGTTATATATCGTGATAAAACAGGTCACCTATTATGCTTCTACATCAACATGTGTCCCCTCTTCTTCATGTCTCTTCTACATCAGCATGTGTCCCCTCTTCTTCATGTCTCTTCTACATCAACATGTGTCCCCTCTTCTTCATGTCTCTTCTACATCAGCATGTGTCCCCTCTTCTTCATGTCTCTTCTACATCAACATGTGTCCCCTCTTCTTCATGTCTCTTCTACATCAACATGTGTCCCCTCTTCTTCATGTCTCTTCTACATCAACATGTGTCCCCTCTTCTTCATGTCTCTTCTACATCAACATGTGTCCCCTCTTCTTCATGTCTCTTCTACATCAACATGTGTCCCCTCTTCTTCATGTCTCTTCTACATCAACATGTGTCCCCTCTTCTTCATGTCTCTTCTACATCAACATGTGTCCCCTCTTCTTCATGTCTCTTCTACATCAACATGTGTCCCCTCTTCTTCATGTCTCTTCTACATCAACATGTGTCCCCTCTGTGTAAGGAGACTCTGAAAGTTTCAGGAACAAAGATTCTCTCTCTTTTTGTCCTGATCCATTTATATAAAAACCTGTCTGAAAATGAGCTGATCAGATTTTGGCCACTTTATGATGTCATAACGATGTTTTGTCTTGTGTAACCATTAGCCAATCAGCAACCCCCCCCCCACCGTACTTTTCACCGTACTTTTCACGTTTAGTTCCGTTAGTACCCCTTATGTCGCGTTCACCACAAAAAGAGCACATAATCTCGGGAACTTTTACCCCCATTTTTAGTGCCTGCTGAGAGATGATACTTTCCTGGGGGAAAAAAGTGCCCCAGTTCTGGTTGGCTGGGCGAATTGCAAACCACGCCCCGTAAAACTCTGAAATGTTTTGTAGAGCCGCCATTTTATTATCCTCACATTAGCATTATTAGCATTAGCATTCGCCCAGCCCACAAACGCAGAGAGACTAACTTATGGCAACACAAAATAAAACATGGGAGCGGTGGAGATGAGGAGGTGTCGGCGTTCTGGCGATTTACTCTGAAGGCTTCAGTAGAAGCTGCTGGGAGTCTCAGCAGCTTCTACTGAAGCCAGTCCCCAACTCCGGGGACTTCCGGCCGGGGACTCCGGGTGGCAGTATACGCCGTGAAGTTGTTTGCGGCCTGCCAGTAAACCCAAAGCAGAAGAAGACGAAGTGACGTCAGCGGCTCATTTGCGTAATCTTCCCTCAGGGTACTTATTCCGGTGTGAACGCGATCTGTACTTAGTGCCCTGGGGTAATAAGTGCCGGGGCACTGAGTGCCGGCACTGAGTACGGCAAAGTACTTGGTGTGAACGCGGCTAATGTGTTCTTTTTAACCAAATATCTCTCAGAGGGGCGTTGCCAGCAGCAGCTCATTAGCATTTAAAGCTACAGACACAGAATCAGCACTTTTGAAACAGGGCTGAAACAGAGGGGATTATGGGATGCTGCAATGATCTGTTTGGTGTTTTAAAACACTTCAGAGACATGTTTTGTATATATCTAAGACCTATAATATATTGTTGAAAAACAGTATAGTAGGGGACCTTTAACTCAGTAACTAAATGCTCTTTATGAAACCACATAGTAAGAGAGATGTCCCGCCTCATAGCATCACGTACAATGTGTTGAAGCGCTAACCAATAGAAGCGTGAGTGTTGTATAGTGGTGGAAACTTTGGGGATTTTAGCCTTTGCAGACCATTTACATGCACTACAACCTATATAACACACTACAGGAAAGGGATAACCCACAACAAGCAGAATAGGACCTCTTTAAAAACGTCTAGAAACGGGGTGGTAAGGACGACCTCATTGTAAATCCTGATGTCTGGATATAATAAGAATATACAATAAGATGTGTTCCTACCTTTAGCTGATTTCTTCATCAAGGGCTTCTCTTTAGGAGGAATGAAAGCCTTGTTGCGCTCTTCCTGCTTCTTGGTCAGCGCCTCGGCTTGTTTCACCTGAGAAAGAGAAACAAAGACAGTCAGGTAAGGATTGTTTAACGACATCACGCTAATTAAGATGCTCTTCTGTGAAACCAGCAGGAGGTGAATCCACTCACCTTGACCTCCTCCAACTTCTTCCTCTTCTTCACACTTTCACGCAGGAAGAACTCTCCGGTGGCCAGCTCCTTGTCGACCTACAGGAAATCAATGTTAAAGTAAAGAGTCTCAATAACAGGGTTTTAAACGGGGAGAACGTTCCTCTTTTTCACGTCCGATTATATAAAGTAAGATCCAAAAGATCATTAAAATGCCGGCTTTTTATGTAGTTATTTATAACATGTCATTTTAAATAATCATGAGTGATACTACTACTACTAATACTAACACTACTACTACTACTACTACAACCACTACTACTACTACTGCTACTACCACTAATACTACTACTACTATAACCACTAATACCACTACTACTGCTACCACCACTACTACAAGTAATACTACTACCACTACTGCTACTACTACTACTACTACTACAACAACTAATACTACTACTGCAACTAATACTACTACTCTTGCTACTGCTACTACTACTACCCCTTGGATTAATAAAGCACTTGATTGAAGATATATACTTAACAACAATAATATGAATAAATAGCTATACTAAGTAAGCTGCCTTAATGTAGCTTTTTACATGTATTTCTAAATAACAACAATGTGGTTCTCATCACAACACAAATGAGCATAGGTGTGATAAGCTATGTAATAATAGATAATAAATGTACATATTTCCCCCTGAAATGTATAAACATCAGAGCGGCGCCTCCTCACCGTGTTCTCGGGCTGCGCGGGGGGGAACGGTGTGTATTCTTTCTTCACGCTCTTCTTCTTGGGTTCCCGGCGCTTGGCCAGGTTTTTGTGGCGGAATTTGGGCAGGAAACGTTCCCAACTCTGAGAGCGCAGGTCGGTGTCTTTGGAAAGCTCGCGTTTGATCATCAGAGTCTGAAGGTTCCCAGAAAAATGGAAATGGGGTAAAAGTCAGTCGTGTTGAGCAGTACATACATAAGGCCTAGTGTTGTAAACGCAGCAGAAACATAACACTAATGTCCTGTCTGTTACTTACATACTTTATACATCAGCCATATATATATATATACACACACTGTATATAGAACTAGGGCTGCATGATATTGGAAAAAACTGACATTGCGATCTAAAAAAATACAGGAATTGAAGAAAAGACAGTTTTTTTTGTCCGCAAACCATCCTTTCTTGAACTTTAATGCTATACAATTGGTCTTTTTTTAACAATATTTAACCGGATGAAGGATTTTAGTCACGGACTTTTGGATCTTACGTTATCAGAGCAACAAGCTGAGCTAGCTCGGTTATCCTGCTGTGATCTGATCAAGAATGGTTGTGATTGGTGGTTTGCTGTGCATGCAGAGCCTGCATGTCACTCACTCAAGTACTGACATGAGAGCCGCACAAGTTTTCCTTTTGTAGCAAGCTTTGCACCGTCGGGAATACTTGGAATTTCGCTGTGTAGTGACAATAAAGGAATCTAATCTAATCTATATACAACAGTGTTGTTTCTAGATTTATTTTGGCAGCATCAACCCTTAATCCTGGCGGTAAGAGACGTGACGTGAACTTTGGAAAATTAATTCAGTAGTGTGCCAGTAATGAAGCTCTGATCTCAGCCGCTCGTTCAGTATCGGTTCCCAAGACTAGAAACATGACCAACTGATGGTTATTTTTACAACGGACCAAAACTCACCTTTTCAAACTGGCTTTTAATGTGAGATGAATGCTGTTTCTTGTGCTAAATATTGTTTTATTAGCTCCATTTTGGTGTATTTATTTGTACCACTGTAAAGGGTCTTTGAGCAGTCACACACAATGGCTGCTTCAGGGTTTTGTTAGATAACAATATATTTAAAATCTTGTAACTAGTAGAAATATGGAGTCTATGTTCAGATTGAGTGTTGTGTGATTCATGCCCTCAGCTCCAGGTCGAGCCAGCCTTGGCGATCGAACCCAGAGAGATTTATGTCAGTCAGGAGATCGAGAACAAGGATGGAAAATATCTTCATCGGGCATGCATCACATATCTGAATATATCCAGGTTTCTCCCGGACGTTTGGACTCACCTTGATGTTGTAGATGGGGTGAATGTTCTTCATTGTGTCCATCACCACTTTGCGTACCTGAACAAAAGAGATGGAGACATGCATCAATTATCTAAAGCAGCGGTTTTCAAAGTGTGAGGCTCGCCTCCCATGGGGGGCGCCAGAGAGCTTCAGGGGAGGCGCAGCGTGAGAAAAAAATAACGAGAAACAGTGAAATCTAGCTAGTTAACTTCAGCTAACTTTATGCGAGCGGCAACATGGATCGATTTTTTGCGAAGTTACCTAAAGTGAAAGAGGAGACGGCGTCTGGCAGAAAACGTCAGCTTTGTTTTGAAATAAAAGTTGTGGCTCATCGGACATTTATGAGAGAAAATCCCTAATGTCCGAGTGCAAG